CGTAGTCGTAGTCGTACGTCGGTACAGTTAGTCGTAGTCGTAGTCGCTAGTCGTAAGTCGTAGTCGTAGTCCACCCCCCCCCGTTACAAAGTTCCGTAGTCGTAGTCGTAGTCGTAGTCGTAGTTCGGTAGTCGTAGTCGTAAGTCGTAGTCGTGTCGTCAGTCGTAGGTCGTAAGTCGTAGTCGTATCGTAGTGTAGTCCGTAGGTCGTAGTCGTTTAGTCGTAGTCGTAGTCGTAGTCGTAGTCGTAGTCGTAGTCGTAGTCGTAGTGTAGTCGTAGTCGTAGTCGTAGTCGTAGTCGTAGTCGTAGTCGTAGTCGTAGTCGTAGTCGGTAGTCGTAGTCGATAGTCGTAGTCGTAGTGTCAGTCGTAGTCGTAGTCGTAGTTCGTAGTCCGTAGTCGTAGTCCGTAGTCGTAAGTCGTAGTCGTAGTCGTAGTTCGTAGTAGTCGTAGTCGTAGTCGTAGTCGTAAGTCGTAGTCGTAGTCGTAGTCGTAGTCGTAGTCGTAGTCGCTAGTCGTAGTCCCGTAGTCGTAGTCGTAGTCGTAGTCGTAAGTCGTAGTCGTAGTCGTTATCCGTAGTCGTAGTCGTAGTCGTAGTCGTAGTCGTGTCGTAAGTCGTCAGTCGTATCCGTAGTCGTAGTCGTAGTCGGTAGTCGTAGTCCGTAGTCGTAGCGAAAGTCGAAGTCGAAGTTCGAAGTCGAAGTCGAAGTCGAAGTCGAAGTCTGGAAGTCGAAGTCGAAGTCGAAGTCGAAGTCGAAGTCGAAGTCGAAGTCGAAGTCGAAGTCGAAGTGAGTCGAAGTCGAGTCGAAGTTCGAGTCCGAAGTCGAAGTCGAAGTCGAAGTCGAAGTCGAGTCGAGGTCGAAGTCGAAAGTGAAGTCGAAGTCGAAGGTCGGAAGTCGAAGTCGAAGTCGAAGTCGAAGTCGAAGTCGAAGTCGAAGTCGAAAGTCGAAGTCGAAGTCGAAAGTCGAAGTCGAAGTCGTAAGTCGAAGTCGAAGTCGAAGTCGAGTCAAGAGTCGAAGTCGAAGTCGGTCGAAGTCGAGTCGAAGTCGAAGTCGAAGTCGAAGTCGAGCGAAGTCGAAGTTCGAAGTGAAAAAAAAAAAAAGGTCGAAGTCGATCGAGTCGTCGAAGTCGAAGTCGAAGTATTCGAAGGTCGAGCGAAGTCGAAGCCGATCGAAGTCATCGAAGTCGGATCAGTCGAAGTCGAAGTCGAAGTCGAAGTCGAAGTCGAAGTCGAAGTCGAAGTCGAAGTCGAAGTCGAAAGTAAGGAAGTCGAAGTCGAAGTCGAAGTCGAAGTCGAAGTCGAAGTCGAAGTCGAAGTCGAAGTCGAAGTCGAAGTCGAAGTCGAAGTCGAAGTCGAAGTCGAAGTCGAAGTCGAAGTCGAAGTCGAAAGTTCGAAGTGACGATGATCGAAGTCGAAGTCGATGAAGTCGAAGTCGAAGTCGAAGTCGGAAGTCGAAGTCGAAGTGAAGTCGAAGTCCGAAGTAGCGAATGTCGAGCGAATCGAGTCAGTCGAGTCGAAGTCAATCGAAGTCGGCGACGACGAGTCGAAGTCGAAGTCCGAAGTCGAAAGTCGAAGCGAAGTCGAAGTCGAAGTCGTCGAAGTCGAAGTCGAAGTCGAATGAAGTCGAAGTCGAAGTCAGTGGAAGTCGAAGTCGAAGTCGAAGTCGAAGTCGAAGTCGAAGTCGAAAAGTCGAAGTCGAAAGTCGAAGTCGAAGCGTCGAAGTCGAAGTCGAATCGAAGTCGAAGTCGAAGTCGAAAGTCGAAGTCGAAGTCGAAGTCGAAGTCGAGTCGAAGTCGAAAGTCGAGCAAGTCGAAGTGAAGGTCGTCGAAGTCGAAGCGATCGAGTCGAAGTCGAAGTGAGTCGAAGTCGAAGTCGAAGTCATCGAAGAAGTCGAAGGCGAATGTCGAAGTCTGTGAAGTCGAAGTCGAATCGGTCGAAGTCGAAGTCAAGTCGAAGTCGATAGTCGAAGTCGAAGTCGAAGTCAATGAAGTCGAAGTCGAAGTCGAGTAAGTGAAAGTCGAAGTCGAAGTCGAGTCGAAGTCGGAAGTCGAAGTCGAAGTCGAGTCGAGTCCAAGTCGAAGCCGAGTCGAAGTCGATCGAAGTCGAAGTTCGAGAGCAGTCGAAGTCGAAGTCGACAGTCGAAGGAAGTCGAAGTCGAAGTCGGAAGTCGAAGTCGAAGTCGAAGTCGAAGTCGAATGAGTCGAAGTCGAAGTCGAAGTCGGTCGAAGTCGAAGTCGAAGTCGAGCGAAGTCGAAGTCGAGCGAAGATCGAAGTCGAAGTCCGAAGTCGAATGATCGAAGTCGGAAGTCGAAGTCGAAGTCGAAGTCGAAGTCGGGAAGTGTCGAAGTCGAAGTCGAAGTCGAAGTCGAAGTCGAAGTCGAAGTCGAGCAGTCGAAGTCGAGTCGAAGTCGAGTGAGTCGAAGTCGAAGTTATCGAAGTCGAAGGAGTCGATCAGTCGACGCAAGGTCGAAGTCGAAGTCGAAGTCGAAGTCGAAGTCGAAGTCGAAGTCGAAGTCGAAGTCGAAGTCGAAGTCGAAGTCGAAGTCGAAGTCGAAGTCGAAGTCGAAGTCGAAGTCGAAACGAAGTCGAAGTCGAAGTCGGTCGAAGTCGAAGTCGAAGGTGCGAAGTCGGAAGTCCGGTGAGTCGAAGTGCGAAGTCGAAGTCGAAGTCGACGTCGTAAGTCGAAGTCGAAGTCGAAGTCGTAAGTCGAAGTCGAAGTCTGAAGTGCGAAGTCGAAGTCGAAGGTCGAAGTCGAAGTCGAAGTCAAAGTCGAAGTCGAAGTTCGAAGTCGAAGGTCGAAGTCGAAGTCGAGTGAAGTCGAAGTGCGAGTCGAGTCGAAGTCGAAGTGAAGTCGAGTCGAAGTCGGAAGTCGAAGTCGAAGTGAAGTCGTAAGTCGTAAGTCGAAGTCGAAGTCGTAAGTCGAATGTCGATAAGTCGAAAGTCGATAGTCGAAGGTCGAGTCGAGTCGGAAAGTCGAAGTCGAAGTAGAAGTCGGAAGTCGAAGTCGAAGTCGAAGTGAAGTCGAAGTCGAAGTCGATAGTCCGAAGTCCGGGAGTCGAAGTCGAAGTCGAAGTGCGAATGTCGAAGTCGAAGTCGAAAGTTCGGAGTGAAGTCGAGTCGAAGTCGAGTCGGAAGTCGAAGTCGAAGTCGAGTCGAAGTCGAGTCGAAGTCGAAGTCGAAGTCGAAGTCGAAGTTCGAAGTCGAAGTCGAAGGTCGAAGTCGAGTCGAATGTCGAAGTCGAAGTCGAAGTCGAAGTCTGGAATGAAGTCGAAGTCGAAGTCGAAGTCGAGTCGAAGTCGAAGTCGAAGTCGATAGTCGAAGTCGAAGTCGAAGTCGTAAAGTCGAAGTCGAAGTCGAAGTCGGAAGTCGAAAGTCGAAGTCGAAGTCGAAGTCGAAGTCGAAGTTCGAAGTCCGAAGTCGAAGTCGAAGTCGATAGTCGAGTCGAAGTGAAGTCTGAAGTCGAAGTCGAAGTCGAAGTCGAAGTCGACAGTCGAAGTCGTAAGTCCGAAGTTCGAAGTCGAAGTCGAATCGAAGTCGATAGTCGAAGTCGAAGTGAAGTCGAAGTCGAAAGTCCGAAGTCGAAGTCGAAGTCGAAGTCGAAGTCGAAGTCGAAGTCGAAGTCGAAGTCGAAGTCGAAGTCGAATGTCGAAGTCGAAGTCGAAGTGAAGTCGAAGTCGAAGTCGAAGGTGAAGTCGAAGTCGAAGTCGAAGTCGAAGTCGAAGTCGAAAGTTCGACGTCGAAGGTCGAAGTCGAAGTCGACGTCGAAGTCGAAGTCGACGTCGAAAGTCGAAGTCGAAGTCGAAGTCGCAGTAGAAGTGAAGTCGAAGTCTGAAGTCCGAAGTCGAAGTCGAAGCTCGCGAAGTCGAAGTCGAAGTCGAAGTCGAAGTCGAAGTCGAAGTCGAAGTCGAAGTCGGAGTCGAAGTCGAAGTCGGAAGTCGAAGTCGAAGTCGAAGTCGAGTCGAAGTCGAAGTCGAAGTCGAAGTCGAGTCGAAGTCGAAGTCGATAGAGTCGAATTCTAGTCGAAGTCGAAGTCGAAGTCGAAGTCGAATTCGGTCGAAGTCGAAGTCGAAGTCGAAGTCCGAAGTCGAAGTCGAAGTCGGAAGTCGAGTGAGTAGTCGAAGTCGAGTTAAGTCGAAGTCGAAGTTCGAGTCGAAGTCGAAGTCGAAGTCGAAGTCGAAGTCGGAAGTATCGAAGTCGAAGTCGTAAGTCGAAGTTCGAAGTCGAAGTCGAGTCGAAGTCGATCGGAGTCGAGTAGTCGATGAGTCGATCAGTCGAAGTCGAAGTCGCAAGTCGAAGTCGAAGTCGAGTCGAAGTCGAAGTCGAAGTCGAGTCTCGAAGTGAAGGTCGAAGTCGAAGTCGAAGTCGAAGTCAGTCGAAGTCGAAGTCGAAGTCGAAGTCGAAGTCGAAGTCGAAGTCGAAGTCGAAGTCGAAAGTCGGAAGTCGGAAGTCCGAAGTCGAAGTCGAGTGAAGTCGAAGTCGAGTCGAGTCGAAGTCGAAAGTCGAAGTCGAAGTCTGAAGTCGAAGTCGATCGAAGTCGAGTCGAAGTCGAAGTCGAAGTCGAAGTAGTCGAGTCAGTCGAGAGTCGAAGTCGACGATGAGTCGAAGTCGAATAAGTCGAAGTCGAAGTCGAAGTCGAAGTCGAAGTCGAAGTCGATGAGTCGAAGTGAAGTCGAAGTCGAAGTTCGAAGTCGAAGTCGAAGTCGAAGTCGAAGTCGGAAGTCGAAGTCGAAGTCGAAGTCGAGTCGGAAGTCGAAGTCGGAAGTCGAGTCGAAGTCGAAGTCGAAGTGAAGTCGAAGTCAATCGAAGTCGAAGTCGAAGTCGAAGTCGAAGTCGAAGTCGAAGTCGAAGTCGAAGTCGAAGTCGAAGTCGACAGTCGGTAAGTCGAAGTCGAATCGTACGAAGTCGTAAGTCGAAGTCGTAGTCGTAGTCGTAGTCCGTAGTCGAAGTCGAAGTCGTAGTCGAGTCGTAGTCGTAGTCTCGTCGTAGTCGTAAGTCGTAGTCGAGTCGGTGTCGAGTCGTAGTCGTAGTCGTAGTCGTAGTCGTAGTCGTAGTCGTAGTCGTAGTCGTAGTCGTAGTCGTAGTCGTAGTGTAGTCGTAGTCGTAGTTCGTAGTCGTAGTCCGTAGTCGTAGTCGTAGTCGTGGTCGTAGTCGTAGTCGTAGTCGTAGTCGTAGTCGTAGTCGTAGTCGTAGTCGTGTGTAGTCGTAGTCGTAGTGTAGTCGTAGTCGTGTCGTAGTCGTAGTGCGTAGTCGCTCAGTCGTAGTCGTAGAGTCGTAGTCGTTTCGTAGTCGTAGTCGTAGTCGTAGTCGGTAGTCGTAGTCGTCAGTCGTAGTCGTAGTCGTAGTCGTAGTCGTTAGTCGTAGTCGTAGTCGTAGTCGTAGTCGTAGTCGTAGTCGTAGTCGTAGTCGTAGTTCCGTAGTCGTAGCGTAGTCGTTAGTTCAGTAGTCGTAGTCGTAAGTCGTAAGTCGTAGTCGTAGTCGTAGTCGTATCGTAGTCCGTATCGTTAGTCGTAATCGTAAGTGTAGTCGTAGTCCGTAGTCGTAGTCGTAGTCGTAGTCGTAGTCCGTAGGTCCGTAGTCGTGTCGTAAGTCGTAGTCGTAGTCGTAGTCGTAGTCGTAGTCGTAGTCGTAGTCGTAGTTCGTAGTCGTAGGTCGAGTCGTAGTCGTGTCGTAGTCGTAGTCGTAGTCGTAGTCGTAGTCCGTCGTCGTAAACGTCGTAGTCGTAGTCCGAGTCGTAGTCGTAGTCGTAGTCGTAGTCGTAGTCGTAGTCGTGTCGTAGTCGTAGTCTGTAGTCGTAGTCGTAGTCGTAGTCGTAGTCGTAGTGTAGTGTAGTCGTAGTCGTAGATAGATGTCGTAAGTTCCGTAGTCGTAGTCGTAGTCGTAGTCGTAGTCGTAAGTCGTAGTTCGTAGTCGTAGTCGTAGTCGTCGTCGTAGTCGTAGTCGTAGTCGTAAGTCGTAGTCGTTTAGTCGTAGTCGTAGTCGTAGGTTCGTAGTCGTAGTCGTAGTCTAGGTCGTAGTCGTAGTCCGTAATCGTAAGTCGTAGTCGGTAGTCGTCGTCGTAAGTCGTAGTCGTGTCGTAGTCGTAGTCGTAGTCGTAGTCGTAGTCGTAGTCGTAAGTCGTAGTCGTAGTCGTAGTCGTAGTCTGGTAGTGTAGTCGTAGTCGTAGTCGTAGTCCGTAGTCGTAGTCGTGTCGTAAGTCGTAGTCGTAGTCGTAGTCTAGTCGTAGTCGTAGTCGTAGTCGTAGTCGTAGTCGTAGTCGTAGTCGTAGTCGTAGTCGTAGTCGTAGTCGTAGTCTAAGTCGAGTCGTAGTCGTAGTCGTAGTCGTGTCGTAGTCGTCAGTCCGGTAGTCCGTAGTCGTAGTCGTAGTCGTTAGGTCGTAGTCTAGTCGTAGTCGTAGTCGTAGTCGTAGTCGGTAGTCGTATCGTATGTCGTGAGTCGTAGTCGTAGTCGTAGTCGTAGTCGTAGTCCGTAGTCGTAGGTCGTAGTCGTAGTCGTAAGTCGTAGTCGTAGTCGTAGTCGTAGTCGTAGTCGTAGTCGTAGTCGTAGTCCGTAGTCGTAGTCGTAGTCGTAGTCGTAGTCGTAGTCGTGTCGTAGTCGTAGTCGTAGTCGTAAGTCGAAGTCGAAGTCGAAGTCGAAGTCGAAGTCGAAGTGAAGTCGAAGTCGAAGTCGAAGTCGAGTTCGAAGTCGAAGTCGAGTCGAAGTCGAAAGTCGAAGTGAAGTCGAAGTCGAAGTCGAAGTCGAAGTCGAAGTCGAAGTCGAAGTCGAAGTCGAAGTCATAGTCGAAGTCGAAGTCGGAAGTGAAGTCGAAGTCGAAGTCGAAGTCGAAGTCGAAGTCGACAGTCGAAGTCGAAGTCGAAGTCCGAAAGTCGAAGTCGAAGTCGAAAGTCGAGTCGAAGTCGAAGTCGAAGTCGAAGTCGAAGATCGAAGTCGAAGTCGAATACGAAGTCGAATCGAAGTCGAAGTCGAGAGTCGAAGTCGAAGTCGAGTCGAAGTCGAAGTCGAAGTCGAAGTCGAAGTCGAAGTCGTAAGTCGAAGTCGAGTCGAAGTCGAAGTCGAAGTCGAAGTCGAAGTCGAGTGCGACAGTCGAGTCGAAGTTTCGAAGTCGAAGTGCGAAAGTCGAAGTCGAATCGAAGTCGAAGTTCGAAGTCGAAGTCGCAGTCCGAGTCGAAGTCGAGTCGAAGTCGAAGTCGAAGTCGAAGTCGAAGTCGAAGTCGAAGTCGGAAGGTCGAAGTCGGAAGTCGAAGTCGAAAGTCGAAGTCGAAGTCGAGTCAAGTCGGGAAGTCGAAGTCGAATCGAAGTCGAAGTCGAAGTCGAAGTGAAGTCGAAGTCGAAGTCGAGTCGAAAGTCGAAGTCGAAGTCGAAGTGAAGTCGAAGTCGAAGTCGAAGTCGAAGTCGAAGTCGAAGTCGAAGCGAAGTCGAAGTCGAAGTCGAAGTCGAAGTCGAAGTCGAAGTCGAAGTCGAGTCGAAGTCGAAGTCCGAAGTCGAAGTCGAGTCGAAGTCGAAGTCGAAGTCGAAGTCGAGTCGAAGTCGAAGTCGAAGTGACGTGAAAGTCGAAGTCGAAAGTCGAAGTCGAAGTCGAAGTCGAAGTCGAAGTCGAAGTTCGAAGTCGAAGTCGAAGTCGACAGTTCGAAGTCGAAGTCGAAGTCGAAGTCGAAGTCGAAGTCGAAGTCGAAGTCGAAGTCGAAGTGAAGTCGAAGTCGGAGTCGAAGTCTGAAGTCGAAGTCGAAGTCGGAAAGTCGAAGTTCAGAAGTCGAAGTCGAAGTCGAAGTCGAAGTCCGAAGTCGAGTCGAAGTCAGGAGTCGAAGTCGAAGTCGAAGTCGAAGTCGCAGTCGAAGTCGAAGTCGAAGTCGAAGTTCGAAGTCGCAGTCGAAGTCGAAGTCGAAGTCGAAGTCGAAGTCGAAGTCGACGTCGAAAGTCGAAGTCGAAGTCGAAGTCGAAGTTGAAGTCGAAGTCGAAGTCGAAGTCGAAGTCGAAGTCGAAGTCGAGTCGAAGTCGAAGTCGAAGTCGAAGTCGAAGTCGAAGTCGAAGTCGAAGTCCCGAAGTCGAAGTCGAAGTCGAAGTCGAAGTCGAAGTCCGAAGTCGAAGTCGAAGTCGAAGTCGAAGTCGAAGTCGAAGTGAGTCGAAGTGAAGTCGAAGTCGAGTCGAAGTCCGAGAGTCGAAGTCGAAGTCGAAGTCGAAGTAGAAGTCGAAGTCGAAGTCGAAGTCGAAGTCGAAGTCGAAGTTGAAGTAGAAAGTCGAAGTCGAGTCGAAGTCGAAGTTCGAAGTCGAAGTCGAAGTCGAAGTCGAAGTCGAAGTCGAAGTCGAAGTCGAAGTGAACGTCGAAGTGAAGTCGAAGTGAAGTCGAAAGGTTCCCCGAAAAAAAGTTCGAAGTCGAAGTCGAAGTCGAAGTCGAAGTCGAAGTCGAAGTCGAAGTCGAAGTCGAAGTCGAAGTCGAAGTCGAAGTCGAAGTCGAAGTCGAAGTCGAAGTCGAAGGTCGAAGTCGAAGTGAAGTCGAAGTCGAAGTCGAAGTGCCGAAGTCGAAGTCGAAGTCGAATTCGACGTCAAGGTCGAAGTCGAAGTCGAAGTCGAGTCGAGTTCGAAGTCAAGTCGAAGTCGATAAGTCGAAGTCGAAGTCGAAGTCGAAGTCGAAGTCGAAGTCGAAGGTCGAAGTCGAAGTCGAAGTCGAAGTCGAAGTCGAGTCCGAAGTCGAAGTCGAAGTCGAAGTCGAAGTCGAAGTCCGAAGTCGAAGTGAAGTCGAAGTCGAAGTCGAAGTCGAAGTGAAGTCGAAAGTCGAAGTCGAAGTCGAATCGAAGTCGAAGTCGAAGTCGAAAGTCGAAGCGAAGTCGCAAGTTGAAGTCGAAGTCGAAGTCCGAGTGAAGTCGAAGTCGAAGTCGAAGTCGAAGTCCGAAGTCGAAAGTCGGAAGTCGAAGTCGAAGTCGGAAGTCGAAGTTCGAAGTCGGAAGTCGAAAAGTCGAAGTCGAAGTCGAAGTCGAAGTCGAAGTGAAGTCGAAGTCGAAGTCGAAGTCGAAGGGTCGAAGTCGAAGTCGAAGTCGAAGTCGAAGTCGAAGTGAAGTCGAAGTCGAAGTCGAGTCGCAGGGTCGAAGTCGAAGTCGAAGTCGAAGTCGAAGTCGAAGTCGAAGTCGAAGTCGAGTCGAGTCGAAGTCGAAGTCCGAAGTCGAAGTCGAAGTCGAATCGAAGTCGTAAGTCGAAGTCGAAGTCGGAAAGCGAAGTCGAAGTCGTAGTCGAAGTCGTTCGTAGTCGGTAGTCGTAGTCGTAGTCCGTAGTCGTAGTACGTAGTCGTAGTAACTTAGTCGTAGTCGAAGTCGTAGTGTAGGTTCGTTAGTTAGCGTAGTCGTAGTCCGTAGTCGTAGTCGTGTCGTAGTCTGTAGTCGTAGTCGTAGTCGTAGTCGTCTAGTCGTAGTGTTAGTCGTAGTCGTAGTGTGAGTCGAAGTCGTAGTCGTAGTCGTAGTCGTTAGTTGTGTCGTAGTCGTAGTCCGTTAGTCGTAGTCGTAGTCAGTAGTCGTAGTCGTAGTCGTCAAGTCGTAGTCGGTAGTCGTAGTCGTAGTCGTAGTTCGTAGTCGGTAGTCGTAGTCGTAGTCGTAGTCAGTCGTAGTCGTAAGTCGTAGTCGTAGTCGTAGTCGTAGTCGTAGTCGTAGTCGTAGTCGTAGTCGTAGTCGTAGTCCGTAGTCGGTCAGTCGTAGTCGTAGTCCGTAGTCGTAGTCGTAGTCGTAGTCTAGTCGTAGTCGTATGTCGTAGTCGTAGTCGTAGTCGTTAGTCGTAGTCGTAGTCGTAGTCTTCGTAGTCGTAGTCTTGCGTAGTTTCGTAGTCGTAGTCGTAAGTGTAGTCGTAGTCGCTAGTCGTAAGTCGTAGTCGTAGTCGTAGTCGTAGTCGTAAGTCGTAGGTAGTCCGTATGTAGTTCGATCCGTAGTTCGTAGTGTATCGTGTAGTCTATGTAGTCGTAGTTCAGTGTGCGAGTCGTCGCTAGTCGTAGTGTTGAGGTCGTCGTAGTCGCGTATCAGTTTCGTAGTCGTAGTCGTAGTCGTAAGTCCGTAGTCGTAGTCGTAGTCGTAGTCGTAGTCGTAGTCGTGTGTAGTCGTAGTCGTAGTCGTAGTCGAGTGATCGTAGTCGTAGTCGTAGTGTGTCGTAGTCGTAGTCAGTGTATCGTAGCGTAGTGTAGCGTAGTCGTAGTCGTAGTCGTTCGTAGTCGTAGTGGTAGTCGTAGTCGTAGGTCGTAGTCGTAGTCGTAGTCCGTAGTCGTAGTCCGTAGTCGTAAGTCGTAGTCGTAGTCGTAGTCGTACGTCGTAGTCGTAGTCGTAGTCGTAGTCGTAGTCGTAGTCGTAGTCGTAGTCGTTTAGTCGTTAAGTCGTAGTCGTAGTCGTAGTCGTAAGTGTAGTCGTAGTCAGTCGTAGTCGTAGTCGTAGTCGTAGTCTCGTATCGTAGTACGTAGTACGTAGTCGAGTAGTCGAGTCGTAGTCCGTAGTCGTAAGTCGTAGTCGTTAGTCGTATCGTAAGTCGTAGTCGTATGTCGTAGTCGTAGTCGTAATACGTAGTAGTCCGTAGTCGTAGTCCGTAGTCGTAGTGTATCGTAGTCGTAGTGTACGTAGTCGTAAGTCGTAGTCAGTCGTAGACTATCGTAGTTACGGTAGTCGTAGTGTAGGTCGGTAGTCGTAGTACGTAGTCAGTAGTCGTGTCGTGTCAGTGCGTAGTCAGTAGTCGTGTCCGTAGTCCGTAGTCGTAGTCGTAGTCGTAGTCGTAGTCGTAGTCGTCAGTCGTAGTCGTCGTCGTAGTCGTAGTCGTAGTCGTAGTCGTAGTCGTAGTCGTAGTCGTAGTCGTAGTTCGTAAGTCCGTAGTCGTAGTCGTAGTCGTAGTCGTAGTCGTAGTCGTAGTCGTAGTCGTAGTCGTAGTCGTAGTCGTAGTCCGTAGTCGTAGTTCGTAGTCGTAGTCGTAGTCGTAGTCGTAGCGTAGTCGAGTCGTAGTCGTAGTGCGTAGTCGTAGTCGTAGTGGTAGTCGTAGTCGTAGTCGTAGTGTAGTCCGTAGTGTAGTCCGTAGTCGTAGTCGTAGTCGTCGTCGTGTGTAGTCGTAGTCGGTAGTCGTTCGTAGTCGTAGTCGTAGTCGTAGTCGTAGTCGTAGTCGTAGTCGTAAGTCGTAAGTCGTAGTCCGTAGTCGTAGTCGTAAGTCGTAGTCGTAAGTCGAAGTGTAGTCGTAGTCCGTAGTCGTAGTCGTAAGTCGTAGTCAGTAGTCGTAGTCGTAGTCGTAGTCGTGTCGTAGTCGTAGTCGTAGTCGTAGTCGTAGTACCGTAGTCGTAGTCGTAGTCGTAAGTCGTAAGTCTCGTAGTCGTAGTCGTAGTCGTAGTCGTAGTCGTAGTCCGTAGTCGTAGTCGTAGTCGTAGTCGTAGTCGTAGTGTAGTCGTAGTCGTAGTCGTAGTCGTAGTCGTAGTCGTAGTCGTAGTCGTAGTCGTAGTCGTAGTCGTAGTCGTAGTGTAGTCGTAGTCGTAGCTCGTAGTCGTAGTCGTAGTCGTAGTCGTAGTCCGTAGTCGTAGTCGTAGTCGTAGTGTAGTCGTAGTCGTAGTTCGTAGTCGTAGTCGTAGTCGTAGTCGTAGTCGTAGTCGTAGTCGTAAGTCGTAGTCTAGTCGTAGTCGTAGTCGTAGTCGTAGTCGTAGTCCGTAGTCGTAGTCGTAAGTCCGTAGTCGTGTCGTAAGTCTAGTAGTAGTCGTAGTCGTAGTCGTAGTCGTAGTCGTAGTCGTAGTTCGATCGAGTCGTAGTCGTAGTCGTAGTCGTAGTGCGTAGTCGTAGTCCGTAGTGTAGTCGTAGTCGTAGTCGTAGTCGTAGTCGTAGTCCGTAAGTTTCGTAGTCGTAGTCGTAGTGTAAGTCGTAGTGTAAGTCGTAGTCGTAGTGTAGTCGTAGTCGTAGTCCCGTAGTCGTATCGTACGTCGTAGTCGTAGTCGTGTCGTAGTCGTAGTCGTAGTCGTAGTCGTAGTCGTAGTCGTAGTCGTAGTCGTAGTCGTAGTCGTAGTCGTAGTCGTAGTCGTAGTCGTATCGTAGTCGGTAGTCGTAGTCGTAGTCGTAGTCGTAGTAGTCGTAGTCGTAGTAGTCGTAGTAGTAGTAGTAGTCGTAGTCGTCGTAGTAGTCGTAGTCGTCGTAGTCGTAGTAGTAGTAGTCGTAGTCGTAGTAGTAGTAGTCGTAGTCGTCGTAGTCGTCGTAGTCGTCGTAGTAGTCGTAGTAGTCGTAGTCGTAGTAGTCGTCGTAGTCGTAGTAGTCGTCGTAGTCGTAGTCGTAGTAGTAGTCGTAGTCGTAGTAGTCGTAGTAGTCGTAGTAGTAGTAGTAGTCGTAGTAGTAGTAGTAGTAGTAGTAGTAGTAGTAGTAGTAGTAGTAGTAGTAGTAGTAGTAATGGCATTAGCGCAAATTGATAGACTAAGACAAATATGCAGGAATTATCCAATTTTTTTCTTATTGTGTATCTATAAAAAACTCTGTGATAATGAATTTAGTCAATAGGACCATTAAGTTGTCATCGAGCCCATTCCATCAGTTTTATCGTCTCCTATATTATTTCAGTAGTGTACATACCTTTTCCGGCTCTCACATGCAACCGATCTTAATAAATGAAATATCTAAAGAACGACAATTTTACTTAGACGTAACAAATTGCACGTTTGCTTAAAAATGTCGGATTTGTTTAAAAAATGCATCCAAATATTAATGTTAAATGCAACCTGCAGCACTCAGTCAGATATAAC